TGGTATATTGGGAAACTGAGCATCACATAACTAACAGACTTTCATCGACTCATGGAATGGTAACGTGGTGGAATCTAACGAGGAGTTGTACAAAAGGGTTTTCGTGCATTCAGAAGTAACAAAAAAAGGCACTCTTCATCACCGATGGATACCATCAACGTCTGGAATGCAGTAGGTCCAATACTTTCATACGCACTTTGCAGAGAGGAGACGGAGCCAAGAGAATTGAGTGTGGATGTTGTCAACGCAAGTCGTTTGAGAAATAGCAAGTCTTCGCTGCAAGTGATGGTATTTCTCCGGGCAGGAAAGCGTGAGTATCCACCGGGAGTTGTTGGGGGCCAATAAATTACAGTATGGTAGAGAGTTGTAGGTGAGTTGTAGCGTACGAGTACGGAAACGGGTACGATATACATGTACAGTTGTCAGGTCCATACGGTGCACACATGGAAAAACCTCCAGTCGTGGCCAGAGCACTCGCTCAATCCCCACCTCCCCCACGTCTTCATGTGCAGCTGCTGCGGTTCTCGCTACAACTTCTTGTAGAGTTTCGAAAATTCGTTAGACGAGTATTTTATCCTTTTCTTGGACGCACAGCGAGCTCGCTCGTACGACTCGGTAGCAGCGCAGGTCAGTACTGTCGGCAGACAATACTGCAGTACAGTACCTGTACATCACTGAGCTCTGGTGCTCAGTCAGTCTTTTCAGCATGCTCGTCGCGAGGTTAAAGTGGCGGCTCGGCCAATTTAATCTCGAAGCCTTCTGTGTGAGCCGAAGGGTGTGAAAAAGCAAATGAGTAGATAAAATAATAATATTTAGTAATGGCGGAAGAGAAAAAGAGAGTTTGCCGCTGAAGCGGGTTTTAAAATCAGTCTTATGCGTCCGCGCGTCTCCGTTCGCAGCGGAGGTGAGATGTTGACCGAATTGTGGCTCCGACGAAACGGAATTGACGGCGAGGAATCTAGCCAGCTGATGGAATTTACCGCGCCTCCTTGCAATGGCTAGAGGCTCTGGGAGGCTACGAGGCCGCCCATCATTTGGGAGCTACTCTCTAGATTAGCTGTGATGTTGACGTGATTAATGAGTCAAAGTTGCGGGTTGACAGAACCTCGTAATCCCTGTACACCGTACGTATGAGGTCGCTCTGCCACTCTTCCATAACAACCCGTAATCTAACCTCGAGGTATTTGAATAATCTGCGAATCTGAAGTAATGGGGGAGGACTCATGTCCACTCGAAGATCTCCGAGGCTGCAGCAGATGATGCATTTTCCCGATATGAATATGTGAGAACTTCGTGAAGGGTGGGCTGCGATTTCTATCCCGGTTTTTTCACCATGATGGTGTGATTATGAAGATGGGTCGACGAGTTGAAGAAAGGGTGACCACCGATCATCATTGTTCTCTATCCAGAAGTTCAAATCAGACAGGTCCGAGGCCGAGTTTAATACGGCGTGCCCGCATGAATTCAGGAGGGCACTCCGTATTGAATATGTATTCTTCTGGCGAAATGAATTTATGGAAAAAGATCATACGAAGTTTCCTCTAAGACAAATAATTTATCGGAGATGCTGCACCATTTACATGAGCCTGTAATTTTCCCCGAATCGATCCGGAAGATAACTGCATTAACTGGCGCATCGATCGCTCCAGCGTCCATAAATGTCCACATTCAAAATTCCATTTTTCCAAGATTCCAAATCGTCACCTTCTCATCACGCTCCTCTCACTCTTGCGGCACAATCGTCCACTGTGGGCTTCCGCGACTTACGACGTACCGCCCGCCCGAGGGATTACGGCGTCGATCGTACGACCTTTAGGACCTTTACGTGGTGAACTCATCTACCCGGTACAGTACAATAATTTCGCTCACTGAGAGAAAAAGTCTCCGGCAGTATTAGAAGGTAGGGCGATTCTCTCTGGCCATAATTCGATGAGCGAATCACAATCTAGGCATTGTTTTCGGCTTGTGGCCACGGGATCTTTGCTAGTGGCAGACAGAGTAGCTATTTCAGTGGAGGAGGTTCTAAGAGACAAGAGTTCTGAACCAACTAGCGTCCCGCCACTGTTGGTGGCGAGATGACCAGGACTGTCCTGTCGTCGTCGCTCGGGCCGCCGGGACCAACTTTGGTCCCAACTTTCGAGCACATCTGCCGCTTGTTCCGACGCCACATTTAGCGAAGTCTATCTAATAACAGGGTTCCTCCAATTGTGACTGGGAAAAAGTCGTCTTCTGCGTTTTCTTCCCGTCTTTGTTTCTACTTCGATGTTGAGCCAGGTCTTCCTTGTACGTTTCCTCTGGTCTTTGTCAGCATATTGACCACTTTGCGTGTGTGATGAAGATATCTCATAGTTAAAGTTAAGAAAGCAAGTTGTTGTTGTTCTCGTGATTCTGAAATAGACTTGGAAGTATTTTAAGCTAGATTTTAATGTTATCTACGGAGATCCATCGATGGCTTAATGTGATCAAATATGTACAGTGCTTTCGGGAGGTGCAACGAGAAATCCTCGACGAAACTTTACAGAGGAAAGAGTGATTCTTACGAGCTCCCGAGTCAAAGATTGGCGGTGTTATTATTCGATCCCAATACATGATAACAGCATCTGGATCTGGTGACCGCATGCATGTGTGTACACAAGAAAGGCAGTGATGTAACTTGTAACCTGATTAATGTAGGATCCTTCACGGAGTGAGTGTGGGACTTGAATATCTGTCGCTTCCACGACAGTCGGTCCTTGTCCAAATTGAAGGAAAAGAATATTGAGTATTTCGAAGAGAATTTGTGTGGACCTAAATAATATGAATCCAGATATCACCAAGCTTGTATTTTGCTCGTGAAATGTCCCAAACAGAACACTCCTGCTCCTCGGGCAGATATTTAGTTTCTACTTCGGTGGATGTCTTTAAACACCAAGCACTTGTGCAATTAAGAGAATTGAACTGTACCGAGGTATTGTGGAGACGGGAGAGCACGAGGACCGGTGTTCGGAGACAGCGACTATATAAGGCAAGTCGTCATCGTTGACTGCAGCGAGCGTCAGGAGATCATCCGTTCTACCATCAGCACCCTATTCCCAGACTGATAGCAATCCGACAGTATAGCGGAAGTTGCGCCTTCCGTGAATCAAGGAAGGGAAGGTAGCTCTGTGTCTCCGTGTCGACTACCGGCGGCTGCTGCCAATCCTACTCTACCCGGCGGGGGCTACGACGCAGCTCGAAGTGTCTCGCGCGACTTGCTGGAACTGTCACGCTGTGCCCAAAAGCTCCCTTCGGAAGTGCTCGATGGGCAGCGACAGCAGTCGTCGAGTAAATCCCGCCGTCTCGGGGAGCTGTGGGTAAGAGTGAGCCCTCGGGCTGATCGCTGTAATCGATGGATAGCGTTTTCACGCATGGTGGAGATGGTGGGGTGGAGAAAACAAGGCCTTCCTCTGCGTTGCAGGGTGGCAGTGTACGATCAGTCGTCGAGTCGGAGGCCCGACCGACATCGTATCCTGCCTGCTCTCGGTTATCATCTCGGTTGTACCGATGAAAGGGAGACGCATGGAATAAGAGGCACGAAGCCAAAGCCAAAGCCAAAGCCGAAGCCAAAGCAGGCAATAAAAGCCCAGCCAAGGGTATGAAGAGAAGGAGAGCTAGTAGCACGAAGGAAGGGCAGGTCCGGTCCTGCCAGGCGGAGGGTGGAGCAGAGACGTAAAACTGGGAATCTGCGTGCATGTCTGTGCAGCCATGCCTCGAGCAGCAGCAGGCTTTGATGTCCCTTGTGCTGGATTTGAGTTGGAGTGAAGTACACTGTGAATCTTGACCTGGCCCGGCAGCTGGTGCCTCCAGGTTGCCTAGAGGAGCGCTACAAGAGGTAGAAAGTGGACCACTGTGGTATCACTCCCTTAAGCAAACTGCGCCACTGGAAATCGATCAGGCCTAGCTAGGCCTTCCTGTTCCTCCACAAGGACTACCTCCGGATAGCCCGCCCCAAGCAGCTCTGATGCAAATGCCGCATCCTTGTTCAGACTGTGTGAGTTGATGGCTAAGACGGCCTGCCGCAACTTCTCATAAATTCGTCCTTTGTGGTTTCCGTTTCCGTTTCTGGTCCCTGCCTTTGGGTAGGAATGACCTCCTCTTACTACCGGGAGGATTCCTCTTGAGCAAAGAATATTTCCCCGTGTAGTCGGAGATTTCTGAAAGTTGGTGAGAAAGATGAATGATGTGAGAAGATTATTCTGTTCCTTTATTCAAGCATTTTTCCAGTCCAGTGACCCTCGGGCGATTCAGAATCTGATTCGTGAAGTGGAGAAGAAAGCGAGATTCTCCCGAGAGGTGCTCACGATAGGACGAAGGTTGGGGACGGTCTGGAGGGGGACGGACGGGGGAAAGGAAGAGAGGCCAAGTGGAGTGTCATTGGATTCTCTCCTGATTAAGCGAGGTCCTCTAATCAGTGGATCAGCTTTTACTTTTGTTGCCTACTGCAGTCCTGCCCCAGGTTCCCACCGATTACACAGTGCAGGTGGAGCAGTTGCAGCTGAGCCTGAGCTCTCTGACGCTGTTTTCCATTGCCGCAGGTTCCATCCGGTGGGATTTTGTCTGCAAACCTTAACTCTCGCTCGCGGAGCGCCAGAGGAAGTGGACCACTTTTGTCTGCACCCATGCCGGTCTATGGCCCTTTAAATAAACCGGAAATCGTACCGTAATGTGGCATCCGAGAGCGTGACTAGTTTAGGGACCTCTAACCTAGAGTATAAAATTGGCGTCCCGCTAAGACCGAGCTTGCGCTCGAAGCTCGTCAATCGTGCAGTCCAGAGAATTGGGCCCTCCGGTGAGCAAGTTCTTGGAGTTGCAAGGAATTTGGTATCGAGCTTCGCATCTCTCTGCTGGGCCCTGTCTCGTCTGTTGCACTCACTATCCACTCTCCACTTCCCACAACCCTCATCCCGGTCCGCTTCCTCTTCCTCTTCATCTCTCTCTTGGCTTAAGTAGGCAGAGTAGCACTCTGAGCTGCAGCTGCTACTGCTGCCCCAGGCAGGACCTCTGGGTGCATCATGGAGGAGTAGCTCAACTCTTCTTTTCCTCTAGAGCAGAACCCGACCCTTGCAGCACCGTATTGTCTGTGAGCCTTGCAGAGTTCAGTATCTGGAGGATCGCCAGACGAGCCAGAAAAAGTGATTGGGAGCTAGAGCGGAGTCGTAGAGTACCACTTTGCGACTTTTGCCGAGCTGCTGCAGATTCAGTGGCAGAGGCAGAGGCAGAAGAAGCAGGAGAAGCAGAAGAAGAAGCAGCGGCACCCGATTGGCTACAATAGTAGATCATCAGCCGGACCATTGGCCGCCGCATGAGCTAAAGCTCAACTCTCGCCACTGTTCGTCAAATCTCGCACCGCTTCTTCTTTCCTATCACGACTTCTGCGTCGCAGCAGCAGCAGCAGCAGCACCGCCAGGTCCTTGGGGACGCCGCTGCGCTGCGCCATATTCATGATGGCATATGGATTTGGCAGAGATCGTTCTCATGCGCGCTCCTCTCCTCTCCAGGAACACGTGTTCCGGTCCACTCTCTAAGGCGCTCGCCCCGTTCTGTCGCCGTCGCCACTCGCCACTCGCCACTCGCCACTCCTCCGTGAGGCAAGCCGTGATTATTACGGCCCTCCGCCTCTACGATCCATAGCACTAGCACTGGAGTGGTAGTCAATCGTCCCTCCCTCTAGGCCCTGCCGCCTCGCTGCCTCCTCCTCCTACCGCTTCCCTCGCGCATGAAGCGAGAGCTCGAGGGACAGGCCCGGACGGACAGCTACAATGAAATTGCGTACATGTACTGGGCCACATCGAGTGCGCGTCGGTCTGTCCGTCCGTCTGGCGTAGCGTAGATGGTTGCGGTTTCACCTGATCGCTCGCATTCGCGCTCGCACGCCGCGACGACCAGCAGGAGACTCGTAACTGTCACCAAGACGAGCTGGAGGACGAGGAACGAGGAACGAGGAGGGAGGGAGGGAGGGAGGGAGCAGGAGCAGGAGCAGGAGCGGAAGCGATTCTCGGCCTACCCATCGGTGCAGCAGCAGCCGATCCATGAAACGACGCACGCCGGTCGACGGTCGGGGAATAATGTCACGGTGCTCGCTCGGCTGTGGCCATTGACATTGACATTGTCGTTCACTCATTCGCAGTACTCTCTCGCACGCTGCGTCTGAGCGGGAAAGGGCAGCAGCAGTGGAAGCAGGAGCTGGAGGACGAGGCCTTGTTCTTTGTCTTGGCTCGTTGATGGACCTGCCGAGATCACCGCACCGGCAGCAGCAGCAGCAGCAGCAACAGCAGCAGCAGCAATTGGAGCCTGTCGACTGCTGGTGGAGTGAGCGCGGCGGAGTTCAAGAACTTGCACCGCGACTCTGCGCCTCGCTCCTATGAGCTCGAGCTTGCGGGCCGGGACAAAGACGAGGCGTAATCCGCGAGAGAGGCAGACGAGCGACTCGTGTGACAGTGCCCGGGCCTCCCGATCGCGCAATCGGGGAGGCAGAATAACAGGAGCGGACGAATAATGCGACGGAGGCTCTGTGCCGCGTCAGGCCCTGCGAATGGACTCCAGGGAGCGAGCTAGCCGAGGAGCAGCAGGGCCTTGGAGACTTGGCGCATTGCAGAGCCAGGAGGGGATTGTATCATCGTGAATGGAAAGCGACGGGCGTCGAGGAGAGTCGCCTCGACTGCATTAGCGCGCACACCCCTCGGAAAGGAGATGGGATTGGTGGTGAGGCCGAATGGCATATCTGGAAAAAGCGGGGGATCCGCGGCGACGAGCGAAAAGAAGCGGTCCTCGAAGATTTCGTCCGCCCCGACGACGACGTCCACCTCCTCCTCCTCCTCCTCGCCGTCGGCCTCGACAACCTCTCGCAAAGGCTGGACGCTCTTCATTCTCAAGCAGAATGTTTCGTGCGAGCAGCAGCAGCAGCAGAAGAAGAAGCTGTCGCAATCCAGCAATTCCTCGGCCAAGCCTCTCGACGCAGCTGCCACCACGGCAGCAGCAGCAGCTGCGGCGGCTGCTGCTGCTGCTGCCTCGGATCCCTCGGCAGCAGCTCCTCTGAAGCAGCTGCCCAGCAACAACAATTACTCGCGCGGAGATGCACAGCAGCAGCTGCAAGGGGCGGAGAAACAGGTCGACGGGGCGCAGGACAGCGCGGGGGACATCAGTCAGAGGAAGGAGCGCTTGCGCGGGCTGGCGGCGATTGTGCAGGACGTTCTGTCGCGGTCGCTGAGCGACCTGCGCAGGGAGTATGGCCAGAGCAAGGGGCCTCGAGGCGAGGACGACACCCCGTCGGAAATCAGCAGCGTCAGCTTCCGAATGCAGCTGCTCGACCGCTGCGACACGGGGCTCGGCTCCGCTCGCCTGCGCAGCGCCTCGTCCTCGTCCCTCGTCCCTTCGGACGCCGACACCTCCTTCCGCTACAGCCAGCGAATGGCCCCCGAGAGCACCGCGAAAATTGAAGGTACCTCTCCTCCCCCCTCCTCCATATTCCCTCCCGCATGAATGCCCCAGCTCTCCCTCTGCTCTCCTCCCCGTCGCCGTCGCGTCGACCATTAATTTTGGCATCCGAGCGCTCGAGGTCCGTCGACTTTCCGCTCCGTTTCAAGAGGCTGATTTCGATGCCATGCATCCAGCTGACTCCAATTTCTGGCCCGTGTCGCGACGCGTTTTTCGAGCTGGTGCGTGAGCTGCCAGGGCCGAGCAAAATACTCGTGTTCTTGCAGAGAGCCGACGAATGCGGGAGATATGACGGCCTGGCGGATTTGATTCCGACGTCGCAGGAGTTTCTCTTGATGATTCGCTGGGCGAGACGAGTGTGTTGCCACTGTCGACCCCGAAGCTCGAAGCTCGGGTCCTGCATTCATCCATTCACTCACCCACCTGCATTTTCCCGAGCTCTGTTATCCATCCGGGATCCGATAAAATTATGTCTCCGGGTGCAACAGTGGCCCTGGCTCGACGGAGAGGGAGAACGAGGAGGTAGCCCGCCGGGCAAGACGCGCGATATCAGCCTGAATCAGAGGCACAATGCATTGGTTTTCTTGCATGAGCGGGCGATTTGAGATGCCTCTCCAGTGCTGTCCAGCATGGGTGGCAGCGTCCGCTCACGCCAGCCTCTCGTGCCCTGCGTCGCCCCGCTGATTTCCTCGGGGCGTACAGTGAGTGGGTCGGATCGATTACGACCTCTCCCCTCGCCTTCTCAATTCTTGGAGCCTTTTCGTTCCAACGGGAAGCGTTCGGCTGGCTGGGTGGAGGATATGATCTTCGCGTCGTAGCTAGCAAACTGCGAGCGAGCCCATGATCCATGAAATCACCCCATTGAGTGAGAGTGAGGCCGGAAGCGAAGTTTCGCCGCCGGATGAAACTGTCGCTCCTCTGAAACGCTGTCGGAGCTGCACGGGATGCTTCTCGAGGATCCGAGGTATGGATTGGAGTGTGTCCGGAATCGGACGGAAACCGACATTTGACTCGTTCTTTATGGAGCCCCTGCCTTCCCACGCCCTCTGTCCAATCCCACCCCACATCTCGAGTTGCAATTACTCACGCAGACCAATTTTTCAATCGAGAGTGTTCCTTTTTGGGTTTGGCAAACTGCAGTTATTAGTGTCCGGAGCAATGGACGTCGCCGAATCGTTAATGAACCGCGAATCGATTGTTGTGTTCTTCATTCGCAGGTCTGATTGACAGGGGCAAGCGTGCAGACGACAGTTGCAGAATATCCGGGAGCCGCAAATCTTCGAGGGCGGATGAGTATGAGACTGTTGTGGAGCGACTGAACGATCCGCGAGCCACCATAAGATTGCTCGCTGCGACCGCAGTGCGAGAAGCGACCAGAAACAGCGCGCAAGCGAGGGAAGACCTATGGAGAGCGGGAGCTATACCTCCTCTTGTCAATCTCCTGCAGGAACAGGACATGGGTGTCTGCTACATGGCCACAGTAGCTCTGCTGAACCTGGCCATTGGATCCATCAGGTGCCCACTCTTTCTACCCTTTCCCATGGCATGTCGTCGAGAAGCCTCGACCAGGCAAGGCGAGGCCCAGGTCGGCAACACTATTCCTGGAACCTTCAACTGGATCTTGTCAGAAAGTTGTTGCCGGGAGTCCAGCGTGGTCTCTCTGAATAATCTCTTTCGTCGTCGGGCAATTCTCGCACTGTCAAACGCCATGCGAGCATCGTTTTCCCGAGCCTGTCTCGTGGCCCACGGCTCGCTGTCTTGGCGTTTCTCGACTAGAAAGCTTCGTAACTCGGTCACGTGTGGAATTGCAGTAGGTGAGAGGGATGAAGTTAGCGCGAAACAATTATTGTCTGCCGACCGTGTGTTTGTTGTTCCGTCTGGGTTTAGGCTCGAGAAGAATGAGTGATGGGTGCAGCAGGTGAAAGTGACGCCAGAGTGATGGGCATTGATAGTTGTGCACCTTGGCCTTCTTTTGACAGGAATAAGCAAGCTATGGCCGAGTGTGGGGCCATTGCGATCCTGGTGCGCTTGATGAGACCGGAATCTTGTACCTCGGTTCGTGAGAGCGCGACGACCGTGATTCTGAGCCTAGCTGCCTCGGATCAACTGAAGCCGATGATCGGGACGTCAGGAGCGATCGTGTATCTGTCAGACATCCTCACCAATGGAACCACGCAGGGCCGAAGCGATGCCGTGCGAGCCCTGCTGAATTTGTCCATTTTCAAGGGAAATCGGCCTCCCATGGTGCAGGCCGGCACCATCGGCCCGCTGTACAGAGTGATCCTGAGAGACGCAAAAGACACGGCCGAGAAAGCGGTGATTCTGCTGAGCCATCTGTTCATGTGCAAGGAAGGTCGAGAGACCATCACCTCGGAGGAGCACACGGTGTCTGTGCTCATCCAGGTGCTCAAAAGGGCATCCTTCTCTCAAAGTTGTAAAGAGCACACCGTCGTGATGCTACTATCGCTTTCGACGAAGATGACAGTGCGGAGAGAGGCCGTCTTTGCGCAGGGGATTCTGCCGTCCTTGGTGGAAATTGCTCTTCTCGGCTCGAGCCCCAAGATGCAGGAGAAAGCTGCCAAGTTACTGAGGATCATCAAAGAGCATCGCACGGATGAAGGGATTCTCTCCATGGATAGGATGAGTGATTTAGATGATAAACTACCTCTCGAGAGGCAGTATTCCACCAGTAGTACGGTGGAGACCACAACCAGTACCTACACTATGCCGCCGGCTGCCAAGGGACATGTAGATCGCTCTGTATCTGACAAGGTAGAGGTGACCTGCAAAGATGGCAAGGAGCTCAAGTATTCGAGTTTTTTCCGGTCTCTGATTTCTCGAAGCTTAAGATCAGATTACTTGACGTGTCGTGCAGTTTCCATCGACGAGTCCACTAGAGTCCCTTGTAAAATTCTTAGATCCTTCTGCTCACAAGATTAAAGTCGTCCATATATCCGATGTATAAACTCTTTAGAAGTTTTTGAAATACACATGCACCACATTGTTGTTCATAGCCTTGTCTACTATCCCACCATCTCGCTCGCTGCATCTCACAGCAGCAGCATCTTCTGTTTTGAACTTTTGGCATGGACTACAACTTTGCTATTATTGCTGCTGGACAGTCGTCCTAGTAATTGAGTGAGTGAACGATTTGTAAGGTCCTCCGGCCTTGCTGATGGGCCAGGCCTGCTCCCGAACGCACAAAAGCATGCAGGCGAAGTGAGTGATCTGAGACACGACGTAGCAAACCTGGTTTGAGACACGCATGAGTCGAATCCGAGACTCTTTTCTTCGGATGATATTATCGATTCGTTAAAGCACAACGTTGGCTTTTCTCTTGTCTTGTCCTCGGGTGAAAACATTTCCAACTTTCAATATTCTAGACGGAATCGGAACAGACGGACCCTCGGCCAAGTGACTCGTCTCCCTGGAGTTCCAGTTCGCTGCCCTGGGAAGGTTGTAATAGAAAGTACCTTTCTTCTCAGCTCGGTGGTTCGCAGACTAAAGAGCGGCGTGCATGAGTCTGGTGTCGATGACCATCAAAGTCACTGGTTGGAATTTGGAAGATGTCAAAAGTCGAGGGTTTTCTTGCTTTAGTCTTGACTGACGTATGATTGGAGTATCTTACACGGGGAAATCTGTGATCATTCCTACAGTTGTCTTTTTTGGATCAGAAGTGCGGCCAAATTTTTCTCTGTACCACTGAAGTCGAGAATAAACTACACTAGGCAATTAAGAGAGAGACGATGAAACCAGGACGACGACGGTACTCCAGTCCCCGAGAGCTCTTCTGACGTACTGTTTTGTATGCTCGTGGCCTACCAACCAACCGAGTGAGATCCATGCTCAAGAGGCTTCCTTCCACCAGCCGAGAGCTCGACGTGACCTCAGAGACGGGTGTTCCGACCTGCAAGTTGCATTTCCAACTTCACGCATCCAACGTACATGCTGCGCTGGGGCGAAAGCGAGCCTCGTGCACATTCATTGGACGGGCCTCTACCTTTGGCCGTCAGCTTTCACAGCTTCCGATGTGTAGAAACTAGCGGCCCCACTACAGTTGATTAGAGATCCATGACGGTCTATCGAGCCTTCCTTCGAGAGGTCCCACCACCTGATCAGCTGATGCAGAAGCTCGATTCGGCAAAGATTCACTCGCTCCTCATCACTCCGGCTCGTTCAGCTCAGACATTCGTTCAGTACACTGCTCTGGCAGCTCTGTCCAGCTCTGAGTATTTTTCAAGTCTCACGTCCTCACTCACTTGGCCCGAGCGCTTTGCTGCTAATATTCAATCCAAGTGCCACTAATCTAGCAGACTTTTGCAACTAGTTCTCGTACTCCACGGTAGTTGCAGCTCTTTTCGCAGGTCCGTAACCTTTACTAACTACCTTCGAGGCCCACAATGCTTTCCTTGCGAGAGATCCACTTTCACCTGGAGGTACCATGATTCCTGCGTCTCGTTGTCCCACCATTTGTTCATAGGCCGTGATAAGAACCTCACTTCATGTCCGGATGACGAGCTTTGAAGCGTTTATGAGCACAAGTCGTCCGGGGATACTACTACAACTTGTGGCGCTTTAGGATTCGGGCAAAGGCGGTTTAAGTCGTGAAAGGAGAGGAGTATGCCGTAATGGGACCATGAGAGCTACATCGTAGTTGTGATGGATGATGCATGCGAATGTGTGTCAAGATCTTGTCGGCGAGCGAATTAAGGCCTGGTGAGTAATTATGATCAGGGGACCCACGCTCAAACGGCGTACCTTTTTCGGCCGAAGTGAATATGGACAACTCGATCGGGGACTTTTTCAGCGATTCCCTCGGGCTGAGATTGGAAGCTCTCGAGCATCTCGTTCTTTCATAGGCCTCTGAGCTGTTGGAGCTCCAAAAAGCCCCGTGCGTTTACTCGTGGACCCGATGCCGGAATCGATGGGACATCCAATTCGAGCAAGTCTCTCAAATAAAGGCGCGAGTAAACCGACCATCGTGCTTGAATCTTTCCTCTTCAGGCCTTCCAAGATGACACTATCATGAAAGGAGGACTTGAACAGAATGAATGTGGAAGAACTGATCTACTTTAGCACAGCCACAAGTCCAGATCTCTTTGTTATATCTGCCTACTCCGGCACACGATCCCAAGCCTACTTTGCCCTAGCTCCACCGGATGATAAGACTTTTGAAGACGGGGACGACGAGATGGCCACACCTGATCAAGGCCCTACTTCTGAGACTCGAGTTAGCAGTGTAACGAACGGGTAAGTAAAGCAGCAGCTGCTGCTGCATATTGTTTGATCGGCTGAGATAGATAGATGCACTCTAGTATTGCCATCTTCGCTAAGCTCGGCAGTAGCTGGACAATAGTCAAAGCCTCGCGTGTGTTGAACACACACACACACCCTCTCTCTCTCATTGGTGGCCCCACCGGTAAAGATGTTATCCTGGAGGAGACGGGTTACAGGTCTGGACGGGGAGTAAAAAAAGCTTTATGTTTCCATCTTCGCAACTTTGCTGCAGCCTGCAAATTTTTAACCTTTTCAGGCAGACATTTCGACCGATAAAAACTGCCCCGTGCAGTATGCTAGCTTGGCTCTGCTGGGCTGTGTTCTGCTCTGCTCGGCTTTGCTTTGCTGCTATCACTATCTGTCATGGACTCGGTTATGTTTGTGACCCTACCATGGCAAACTTCCTGTGGTTGCACTATTTATGAACGAAGAGAAGGAAGGGTAGCTTGCAAGGTTGGAAAGAAGGCCAAGCACTGCACTCGGATCTACACGAACGCCTTTCTCAGCTTTACAACTTTCACCTACTGGGAAGCTGCACTAGCAGACCGCTAGTACGCAATAGGGAGGAGGAGGAGGAGGAGGAGCTCGACGCACTCATCAGCTGCTGCTGCTCCTGAGCAAACAACCTCTCAGAGAGTTCCAGTGTCCTCCTCTGTGGCCCCACACACTTGTCCAGGTCCAGACCAGAAACCACATCATGCTGTTTGTTTGTTTCTCGTCCTTGCTGCTGCTGATCCTAATTTTGCACCCCCTGGATGGAGGAGTCCCCAGAGCCCAGCCCCTGTGAGTGAGTGAGTGAGGTTGGGATAAAAAGTTTAAAACCCTTCACCTACCTTCCTCCGAGGTCGGATTGACAAGGAGCTGCAGATACTGCCTCTCACGAAGAGAAAGGGATAAAGTCAGCTACAGTCGAGTAGCAGCAGCAGCTCTACTTTTCACTTCATGATGTGAAAGACATCAGACTGCTGCTGCTGCTGCTGCTTCTGCTGCTTCTGGAGCACTGGCCACGCATCTCTTTCAGCAGCAGCAGGAGGCCTAGGATTACAGGTATCTACAGTTTCACTCTGATGGACGCAGGTTATGTGATTGGACGACAGCATCATCGAGATACAGACACAGATGCGTGGGAGAGAACTTGTACCTTCATAGAGCCTCGCCTGCCATTCCTAGGACGAGACTAGAGAGAGAGAGAGACGAAGAACAAGAACAACGAGACAACGAAGTCTCATTCGGTCATCGTCTCGGTCCCACAGGCAGGCCTTGCAAGAATCTCGTTCCCTCTTGTGCCAGTGAGAGAAGCAATCATATTTAAATGGGATTTGCATCTCAATGCAAAAACTTTTGCTCAAAGATGCCCCGAAGCTCTACCATTGCATTCTCTCACGTCGGCATTTGCATAATCTTACATCAGCTGCTTTCGGTGAGGAGGATCCAGCTGCTGATTTTGTAGTTTTCATTACTTGACCGAGTCGCAGGATGCTGAAATCATACAATAATAGCTTGCGGTCGAAGTCTTCGATGTTGGTACGAGCGAGTGTGGCTGTGGCCCTTGCATGAAGGCATGCGAGAGGTTTGTTGCCGAAGCAATTATTGGACCCAAAAAACATACTGCATTCATGTTCAAACCTCCTCAACTTCACGGTGAGATTTATGTGAGCCAATATTCGACTTTTGCCGCCTTCTCCGAGGAGGAAATGCGGTGCTCCAGCTTCGTGCGGAACTTGAACTTGTAAAATATGGAGCACTCACGAGCATGAACGTATAGACGAGTGAGTGAATGAAGAACTGCATCAATGGGCCTTGCTTCCAATTAATTTTAGGCTGGGACCCTCTACCTCTACCTCCACCTGCCCAATGAATTCTAGCAAATGAGAATTTCCGCCACCCAAACCGGAGATTGCGATATGGTGGCTCTTGAGATTTCATGAGCTTCCATGAAGAGGACTCAAGGGTGGCTTCAGTATTTTATTTTTTGCCATGGAATCAAATACTGTTTGTGAAGAGATTGAAGGAGATCTCACAGCTTTTATGATCACTTCCGAGGTATCAGCGTGCATGCTATTCAGATGTTTGATGCAATTTTAAGAAGCCCCAGAAACAAGCATCGAAAGAAGCAGAGTAATGGTTCAAATTTATGCAGCTATTGATATCGAACCATCAATAGAGTTAGTTGAACATAATTTCAGGTGTAAAACACATACGTTGATGGCATGAACAGGTGCATCAAGTTTTTTCATCTTTCCAATCTTTAGATCTTGCCAGCATATATCAATCTTGTTGAGCGCAAGATTCTAATGGTCCCGATTACAAATTTATTGCAAAATCTGTTCATGTTGTAGGTAACGATGTTTACCAATTCTCACAACAGTAATGCAATGTACACCCAGACATGTTTGAAGTAATGAAGCTCACACAGTTCACTCGACTTCACGTGGGGTGAGATTCCCTTGCACATCCAGGATAATAGAAAGTATCGATCGAACCCTCCAGGAGTACAAAACAAAAGATGAGGAGATACGGTTCCCACGTAGGGCACATTCCGCCATGATCTTCTCTAAAGCTAAGTTCCCTGAAATATGTTCATGCATTAGGCAAACACTAGCAAAAGGAGAAAATGCAAAAGGTGAGTTGATCCATCTAAGTCAGAAACACCAAAATCAGTTTTCGAACCAAACTACGAATTTGTATGGAGATTTGGGGGCTATTGTGATAATGCTACCAATAAAATGTCGGAATGGAGAAAACTTCATAGTTCGTATGCTTCGGACTAACTGCAGTGCAGAGTAGAGTATTTACAGATGTAGATCAATTGAAGTGATTCTTTCCGTCATTACCGATGGATTGCATAAGATGTACATTACTACAGCAAAAGAGTACTCATAATGCCTATACAGAGAGATTTGCTTGATGGGACCCCTGCGGAAAGTAATTTGCTTGATGGGACCCTTCAGGTTTCATTTTACCCGATGGGACCCCATGAACGATGCACCGTCACCCATGTTCTAATAACAACTAGAGAGAGTGCAACGAGTCCACCTCAACCGCAGAGAGAGTGGACTTCAGACTCCATCACACTCGTTTTTATGTTGTTATTTTGTATCCGGCCACTCTCCAAGGAGACAAGCAAAGAAATGTTCATCCGGAGTTTATTTGTTCGTCACAAATGGATGATCGTGAGACTTGAGCAGGGTTACGGATGGAATGTGCAGGTGGGAGGCAACAGAGAAATCCGCGAATCTTTGCGGTGGGAAGAATTGAAACACAACAAATTGCACTTCGAGCAAAATCGATCTTTGTCCCCGTGATAATCCACCAGAAATTATAATCAGGGATTAATCTCTGTTTGTAATTCCCGCATTGTAACTAGTAGTAATCGTAGTTACAAGAACTATGTCCGATGGCACACTATCGTTGGGGTCCATCGGGTAAAACTAAACCTGAGGGGTCCCATCAAGCAAATTACTTTCCGCAGGGGTCACATCAAGCAAATCTCTCTGCTTATACATGAAGAAACACTTTCCACCTGAGTTATTCCTTTCTTTCTTTTTCCCTTTCTGTTAAGATTAAAGAGCAAAGAGTCTTGCCTTACCTATAAAACTTTTCTACGTACATAGGGACAGAATAATTCAAAGTGAGTAAAAAGAACTCGACGTTCTTCCTACTTCATTCTTCATGAAGTAGGGCCAAAAAAGTGTGAGTAGAAAATATCCGAAAATGAAAATCTTTCCACGAGAGTACGGAAATGAATATCATCTGTGGAGTTTCTCCGAGTTGCTTCCGCAACTTTAATGGAAGGTATGAATTACGATACTTCTAAAGATTTCGCTACACGTTTGATCGTAAGTTTCGATAGCCTGTGCGAAGGAAAACTGTTAGCTACTCAATTGTTAAGGAAACAAATGTGGTGTGGTATAAATCTGAACAAATGTTTGTCATGTTGTGATCAGACACTCATAAGGACTACTTAATATACTCATGCAGTCGATGATGTGATTCTTCATATTGCTTGCTTGTACTCAGAAAGTGTCTTGTATAAAACTCCTTCAACATCCCAATTTTTTCCCTTGCATGAGACAGACTTTAATTGTAGTTGAGAGTTGTATTCGATTACTGCTCAAACTCACATTGGAGGAACCCCACAAGCAATGACCATCCATTAAATGTGAGGAATAACGCCAAAGGATCACAGCCACCAAATATATTATCAAAAAGCTGTAAATATCGGATGTTATATTATACTTTGGAAACTGTATTTCATGGGAATTTACAGACTATTCGTCGCAGTCATATAATGGCTGAGGCATACTGTACATACCTAGGCCTCAATTGATTTTAGATTTGAGAATTCTTTAAAGGTCTGAAACGCTTGGTCATACATATCATACATCAGATCACGATCGCTGGACACGAAGATCGAAGAGCAGATTTTCAGTGAGCACCAGCTGCATACATCAAAGCACGACTGGCTTTTGTGAAAGGTCAGGCATATATTTCCACGAACACAAAAAGTATATCAAAGATGCAGCCCACCAGCATGACTTCTTCAGCACTTGAGTGGTGAGAAAGAGCATGAAATGGACTGTTTGGACCACCTCATAATTACTCTGTGTTGCAAGATTCTGAGATTTCTTTTTAATATAAACTTAGATAAAGAGATGAAACAAGTTCAAAACAGAAGAACTTGCTCCGTTCTAGGGTCCACATTATTCTCTCAAGACTCATCTTCGGATACAAATGATCTTATCTTGTGATCTCGTTGCATTGGATGCCATCATTGCGACAGATGGCAAGATTCATCACGAGATTGCTATCGGCATCATACATTATAGCTCCGCGCTAGCTTATGATACTTTGGGTGTATAATTATAATACTTCATACTTTGGCTATACAATCTGAACCATGTTATCAACTGCAAAAGATATTCGGAGCCATACTTGCAAATTGTAATGCACAGCAGAGAAGGTTCCATCCACATTTTTTCCTCTTCCGGTCTACTGACTCAAGAAAAAGCGAGAGTGTATGAGACATGTAATCATGGGAATGTGAGGCATAGGTAGGCACTTATGAGGATGATAGAGCCCTTGTAAAAATGATAAAAGCTTGTCATGTAGCTGCATTAAGGGAGACGAAGTGTTTGTATGGCAGAGTAGAGCCTGCACTTAACACTAGCTTCCAAGAAGAAGCTTAGAGAGTAGATTAAATAATTGAAGAGCCCTCTACATGCTCCCGTGTCCTACCAAGCTGCGTCGTCAACCTCTAGGAAGAAAGCGCAGATTCAACAAGTGCTTGCTGTACGAGTCATACGTGAATACGAGATTCCGTAATCCCCATGCTTGGATCTAGAGAGAATCTTGCACATCCTTACAATTTTCTCTACTTATTGATTCTTGTCAACCATGTATTTCTTTGAAAATCTTTCGTTCAATATAGTAACCATATACTCTGAAATATCAGGTATAAGAAGGATGGAATGTAGTGGAAAGACCACCTAAGTACTGACCGACTACATGATAATTTGTCGAACGAGATATGACTGGAGAGCAAATGTAGCTAGTGGTGATTACTAATTTGGAACAGATCGTAATGACACTACATCCACTGTGCAATAAAACACGTAGACTTATTGAGGTGCATAGCATTAGCTTGGAATGGACGAGATTGTGGATTGACGATACTGCGACTCTGCCGTCTATTGTTTGGTCAAACGGTTGGAACAGTGCATTTGGGTGGAGCAAGACTAACTCAAAGTGTACAGATGACAGACAAAGCGGAAACTGGTTTGGTTTTGGATTTTCTATATGTGCACTATGGATTTGGTGACTATAATGACATGAACGTGCTTGTTGCCGATAGTGGCGATCATGTGAAAGACATCTTTGGCTGAAAGCCCGTGGAAAGAAAATGTAGAACACGATTGAGTGGGCAAGGCCAGTGTAAAAGCAGCGAGTAGTGAAGACTGGGTAGATCGAAAGACTGTGAGCACTTGTTACTACAGATATTTTGTTTCTTCAGGTACAACTACAAGTGAACTGGCATTCACTCACAGGGAGCTGAATTTCGAACGAACGCTCCATGATCAGAGTTTCGGATTGCAATTGTTCCTTTCTCTGCGTACCGACCAAATGTGTGCAGATACTCCAGCAAGAATCTTACTCTTTACAGACAGAAGGAAATAAATACCGGAATAAGTTGCTGCAACGGAAGAAACAAAAGTCAATCATATGTACCTACGTCGCAGACAAGGCTTGGAGTCTTGTGCTAATCTGACGAGACCATCCCCAGAAGATGGAAAGACTTGGAAAGACTTGCAGAGATAGAGATGAAGAGACGGGGGAGAGAAGTGGCGAAGGCGAAGGTGACACCGCCACTTTCGGATACCGACTGACCAACTCGAAGCACTGGAAGAGCAGCAGCGCGCTCTCGGACGAGAAGTTGCTAAAGTGGAGATCTGACTGAACAAAAGCAGGAAAAGGTGCCACAGGGCCTCGTGACAATACTCGATGTCAATAATTGCGAACTATAGAAAAGATCCGAGATATTATCGTGGAGAGCAGAGAAACAAAGCATTTGCTACATTTAAACCGAATCAGAAAAGGCATGAAATAATGATGATGGTGGCTGTGAAATAGGCTCCAAGGTTTTCGGTGGTGGATATATCTTCTCCTGAAAGCTTCTAATTGCTTCGGACCAAAAAGCACACCCTACGACACCAACGTTGCACTAGTCTATGCTATGCTATTCCATACTTCGTATGCAGCAGCTGCTGCTCTAGTGTACGAGCGAGGAGTTTTTTAAGGGTGATACCAAACAATAAAACTGTCCAATCTCTAAGAAAAGTATTCTGCATCAAATCCGTACTAGAAAACAATTCTGGACTCGAAATGGATTCCATCTTTTGAAGCATTGTATACTCTTAAAACCGAATCGATCTTCATAGTGGCATCATTTGTACGTCTTTCTCGCATCTGAGTTAGTTTTGCATTGCCAGGGGAGAATATTTCTGAATGCTTACATGATTGCTGGTGAAATCCGAACGTTGGGACAGAATGTATCTATCTCATTTCACAACCAACACGTGTGCTGGACGAGACAGCACTCTGATCTGCTTGTTTACCATTCGTCTGCTCTCGCAGAGCAATCCTCGACATGTCGGAAACAGTGAAAAAAAGTAACACTCGATAGAAGACCAGAACATGATCTAAAGCAGGCCACCGCAACCGATATGCCAGGACTCACCTCCGCCTTCGCACCTTGCATGCCTTTCCATATTATAATCCAAATGTATTTGACCATCTGTCGGACCTACTACGATAATAAATAATAGTACAAGCAGAACCGTGCTGCTGATGCTGCTGGTCTTCCGTGAATATACGCATCTCCGAAGACAAATCTGCAGAAATATTTTGCTTCTGCGTGCCGAATAGGATCGAGGGAACTCCTGGAAGTCTTGGACGAGTTTGACGAGAGCACACAACACGTTCAGATACAGTTTCGGAATGCTTCGGTCACAGGGTTTGCTGCTGTGTTCACCCTCACCACCACCACCGACGACACACCCTTCCCCACAATTGCAGAGGAAATCATGCCTTGGAATCATTTGTCGGGTCATAGATTCCACTAGTCCTCGAAAACATTCATGCAGAGGGCACAGAGTCAAAACACACCCCAAGGGTCGGACAGCATAGCGCACCACAGCTCTGGGATCTTCGAAGATCGATACGCCTGGACTGAATTGGTGTCGACTGATTACAGTTTATGCATCATTCTTTTCGGTGCAGGCAGAGGAATCTTCGGAAACCGACAATGCTCATCTGAAGATTGAAATCTGGTCGGGAGGCAGCTAAGCGAGGAAGCTCCTCTTGATTTCGTTCCGATCATAAACCGAAGGAGACGAACTCGAAGAAAAAGTGACCTCCCCTCACTTCTTCTCCGTCGTCGAAGGTCTAGAAGCTCGAAAAGCTCGAGTCCGGGCCCGCCGAGCGCTTCAATTCGCGAGGGGCCAGGTCTCGCCGAAGGGCCCGAGCTCGGGAAAGGTATGTTTCGGCTCACATGGTCCACCCGCGCAGCATTAGTTGCTGCTGTGGGTTGCAGCCGCCCTCTCCGAAAAGCGATGATTGTTCACTGAAAGAATGCGATTTCGTCATTCGGGCATGCAGTTGGGTTTCTCACGGGGAAAAAATCTTCCGAAGTCGTGCACTGATTCGAGCTTTAGAGGATTCCCGGCCACCCGTATGCGCTGGATGCTCGCCCGAGCGATGGAGCAAGAGTCAATTCCTGAAGAGGAATGAAGAAAGACTCATCCGGGAGAGACCGACCACCTGAGCGCTTGGGCTCGGGCGGACACGTCGAACAAATCTACGCTTCGGAACGAAGTGCTCGATCGTAGTCGGAAGGATCGAACGTGGTGTCACTATTCGCTGCTGCTGCTGCTGCTGCTGCTGCTGCGGCTATAATCAACCGTGAGACAAACATTTGTCCCTGAGGGTAAACTTTATCTCGAGTGTGTTTGCAATCTGTTTAGGGAACTCGTGAAGCGCTCTCCGGTCTTGCGTCAAAATCAAGAACCCAAAGTTCACTTAGCCATTGTGAAGATCTTTAAAAGCCGGGCAAGAGTCACCTTGCGTAACTAAACTCGCTGGTTGTTCCGTCCCACTTGCGGAATTCCCAGTGGCTGCTAAAAGAGCTCGTACGAGAATGAGGGCCGAACTTGCCCGACTCTCAAATTGACCAGAAATCTCGATCCATCCATTCGGACAGCAGCAGCGTCCATAGGGAGTCGGTGGGATCACAGACCTCCACGAGCTACTTCTCTGCACAAAACTGGTGGGTAGGTTTGCAGCGGCGTCGACCTCGAAACGTTCCTCCATGGATCGGAGCGAGGAGGAGCTTCTGGACGATGCTGCTTTGCAGATTTTAAAGTTCTTGGGACAAGTCTATGTCCGGCTTCAAGAAGCTCAAGCCGTGCAAGAATACGTCTGTGAGCAATACGAGGCCTCGATTCGATTCCTACGTCTATGTGCGAGTGGCTCGGATCAGTCCGGGCTCTCTGTCCCCGAGGCTCCTACCCGCAGGTACTGGCATTTAGGGCTCACCATATCCTCATTCCCTATCGAATCATTGTAGCTCACCAGGACACATCAAGAACCGACATCCTGTTTTCTAGAGCTCCATTTTTGGCTCTGGTTACGCATCCTTTTGCCTTTTCCATCGGCAGATGAACTAATACTTGTCTGATTGAGTCTAAAACCAATCGGCTTCTTACTCTAATCGTGATTCAAGCGAAGTTCAAATGTTTTCTTTCGCTCGAGACTTCTTTTCCAACTCTCGGAGATAGTCGAAACAAAAGAACCCGCATTCGTTGTGTCTGCAAGTATCTTCCGATTCTCTTGGTAGGACATTATCGAGCTTATTCCGACGGCCAAAACGTCGGCATTTTCGAACAAAAACCTGCGGCCGCTGACGCTTTTCGTGCTGTGAGCACCTCTAGAATTTTTCGAACGAGAGAGCATTCAGCGCACAAGGGTTCTCACCAAGGCCATGAAAACAAGCAGCAGCAGCAAAAGATCAAGACAGGTTAGACCTCTCAGTAACTCTGCCATGCATCACATTCATGTGCCGTCTCTGCCGTCAGCGTTTGATTGGGGACCTAGGTTGCCGTGGGATCTTTGTCCTGCTTCTGAATTCTGTCACTTTTACCTTAGCGACTTCATCAAAACATCGAAGGAATCCAGAAGACTGTAGGGGGCCGGCTGGAGCCGACCACCGGCTTGGCTTTCGTTCGGAGAGTCGCTCGAAGAACTCAGAATGGCCAATGCCAGTATTGATCTGTAATGTCCGCAATTCTTCATGGCTCGAGATGTTCTGTTGGTCGCTGGTCGAACTTTCTCCTCGGCCGCGGATGTAACGCAAAGAAATTCCCGCAGGGCCCGACGACGACGGAGACATAGCCAGCAAAGAGTTCGCGGCGCTGTGCGAGTGTTTGGACACCGTCCTTGCGGAGGCGCAAGCTGTTCGTGAAGGGTCCATCGACGCATTGACGAGAAAGGTACGAATCGGCCTCTTGCTAAGACGCAATTACTGCGAGTGCACTTCACATTTCCACTCGTTCCTGCAAGGCCACAGGAGGATGAGCAGGCGGAGGTCAGCGAGCACGCCATCTGTGATCGATCCTGACAACCTCCTTGACGTGCATTGAATTTTGCTCCCCCGATGTGCAACACTGCAAACGGACGCAATGACATTGTGAATTCATAGCTTTTAATCTTCACTCGCAAACCTTCATGAACGGACCTGCTTGTTGCATGGCTTGCCTTTGGATACCACAGTGCGGAGGGAGAACCCGGGGACCCAAATCCGCAGGCAATCGTCAGCATCATCCCACTGCCAGTAAAGATGGTGCTGCCAGGGTCAGCTGGACGGCTGCTTCCAGAACAGTCAACGATGGTATTGTCGCCGGCCCTGCAACCCGGACCAAAGATAAGATCGTCCGACCAAACTCGAGGAAAGCAGCCAAATCGATCAAACCCCGCAAGCCTGCCATACCCCAGATGTCATCAGCGTCTGCCATTCCTCCAGGGGCCTGCAACAACAACAAGATTCAGAGCAGGAAGACGAGTCCGGAGAAGAGCGACCGCATACCTCGTCTGCCTCTGTCCACCAGGCCCAAGCCAAGTCTAGCACCAGCACCAGCACCGTCTTCAGCTGCACGACTGCTTCGAGATGAGCTTAACATCGACTGCACAGCCAGTAAGTCCATGCAGGCCAAAGCCAGCTTCTGATCCCCTGAGCCACTCCCTTGTAGCTCACCTTCTTGTGGAAGGCGTCAGGATATCAAATTCGGGGAAAGCCTGAATTTGGAATGTGGAAGCACTGCATAATAATAATAATTGAGAAACCAACCATAACATGCCGGCGTCTCCACAAACGCCATGTCGACAGGGGTGAAGGAAGGGCGACAAGAGAGCCCGACTTTTTGGGTGACAATGAAATTCGTTCTTGCACGGATATATTCGTGTTAGAGAGTCGAAAAAGTTGGTGATGTGAGTCTCATGTCTCCGTCTGCAGAGTGCCGGACAGCGGAGAGATGGCGTCTGCAGTTTCCCCAGAAGTATGTAGCACTTTGGTGCTGGTTCAAGGCGAGGGAACGGTACTGGCACAGCACATACGCCGCATGCAGGACCAAACCTGCTGCCGAGGAGGCATTCTTGGCCTCGTTGGAGGATGTCTACAATGAGCAAGAATCGAGCCACGAATCCCATGATGATGTAGGAGGCCCCTACATAACTTCAACAGCCGAAATCTCAAAGTTGATCTTCTCTTGTGCCCCTCTTGATTTTTAGATATCTTACCGCTTTTCTTGTCACTGTCACTTTGCTCGGAAGGGTGGACATTAAAAATTGGAAGTGGCAGGAATATAAACTTGCAGCTTCACCCATTCGAGAATTACAGAAGGCCATGGAAGATCTAATGACCTCTGCTATCATGAGCGAGTCGCGGCGGATGAATCTGCAGCGATTAGCACCCGCAGGTGTTTGTATCTTGGTTCTTTTCACATTCGTGTCCTGACATGGATAGTTAGCCTCGTTTCACCTACTTCCGAATCCAACGCGCTGCTACATTAATTATCTCGTACGAATCAGCTATCCCACTCCAAAACATGAAGTTCTGAGTTCAGGCTGACGGAGTCGCATTGTACTTGATAAGTGATGACTTCATGAATTGATCAGGATCCAAGATAGCAGAAATGAGGAACTTCAGTATGCATAAACTCCGGCCACCTGGTAAGACAGATACTATTCTGAAGACCGATTTGGAGAAGGATAACACGGAGCCTGAAGAGGCCCTGAATCCCTCCTGGCTTCCTCGGAATTGCTGGGTACACTTGTGTACGTACACACAAAATGCCTCCTGTTTGTGTAATTAAGCTGTATTCTGTACACTGGTCTGAAGGGAAAGGTGGAAACCACAGTGCCTTCTTTTTTCTCGTTCAGCAAAAGATCAGATCCTCTCTGATAGCCCATGGACGTATGGTCGATGAAACAAAAGTCAATATCTTGTCTTTCCTGAAAGATGATGGATGGGCAGTCGCAAACCAAACTGCAATTGTAAAGCGATTTGCAAGGGTAAAGCTCTCCACCTAAAGGAGAATCTGTGAAAATTGCCCACCTGGTGGAGAATCTTTTCTGCATGTACAGAACTAGGACTGGTGAAAAGATGACTAGAATCAAACAAACTGTTTGACCTTCAGTCTTGGCATCTAGTTAAGTCCTGCGAGGGGTGGAGCAGCTACCACGACTCAAGGATATTTTAAGGATAATGAATATTCCATTGCGTAAGATTGTACATAATAATGACTACACTAATCAACTAGTGATTGACAATTGAAGCCTGCGATGGCAAGATGGCAAGATGGCAAGATTTTCAAGTTTATCTTTTCATCCATCTGCAGGCGATGTACTCAACAACTTAGAGCTGGACGATTTATATGTGAACGAGCTGGAACGGGGCCTAGTCACCTACTCAGAACCAGAGGTAATGGATAAGTGACAGGTGGTTATTTTCTGGTAAAATGAAAGTTCTTACAAAATCTTCCCTTGTCAGTCTCTGAGAATGGTGGAAATACCGAAGTAATCACGTCGTGTTAGGAACTGATGGAAAAAATGATGCCGCTAGCCGCCAGTTTTCAACAGGGGATTTGTAGTCACACCATCCATCATCATGGCAAGCATCGATCAAGAGTTCTTCCTCTCCAGGACTGTGATTGGTTCCAGAAATTTAGTTCACAGTGCCTCATAGCTAAACGCCTTTTTCAGATAAGTTGATATACTATGCGGCACTGGTCTCCTAAAGTAGAAGAGTAAAAAACATGTACCCAGGCGAGATGCATCTGAGATTCTACGTCCACCTGAGTTTTCCTGTATCATGCCCAAAAAGCTTCTCATCCATTCTACCACTATTGGGATAGACCTCATATATGAGGTCTATTCAGAACGACTGCATACACCTTCGGTGATCCCATACCCGTCAATGATGACTTCAAATTGGCGATTGCAAAATCAGAGATTTCTTTAGGGGTGAGCTGGATACCAACTGGATCAGGTTATGTCAGACAGTGCTTTCAGAGCACCATGTAAACTATGACTTGAAAGCGGTGGACACTGGTTGAAGAAGCTCCAGCTCGTCTTCTATCAGCTAACGCGTATGATTTGGTGCTCTGTCGTCCCTTGGAGCAGCAAATTGTTGTTATTGCTCGACTCTCGCACTGTATACAAGTGACTTTATTCCACTGCTATGTGGAGAAAGTCTTCGGCCAGTCTTTACTCCACAGATATTCTCGGTACGATTCCTGATCTCCAGTCCCGGAATTTCCATGCAGTAGTCTGGACTCTAGGGAGAAGCAGATCTTTTCCTGTATGGAAGTGATAGCAACAGCCGTCGTATCTGAGTCCCACGAGGCAAACCGAACCATTCAACAGCTAAACATGTAGACTGCTGACATTTCCATGAAGGCGTCATCTAATTTGTCTCCGGTTCACAGGAAGACAACAGGCGATCGTCAAGGCCGTGTTGGGACCGATGACAGCAACGTATATGCTCAAGATTTGGACCCTGGTTTCCGGAGAGGGGAAGGAGAGCAGCAGAGCATGACAAGTCTACTGCGATGTCAACTAGCTCACTGCATTCTCTGCAAAGAAGGACGAGCGCTTTTCGTTCTGGCCGAGAGAATAACCGCCACCGCTTAGCTAGCCTTCGGGGGACGAAGCATTGACTCTTGATTTGTTTAGAAATAGGAAACAGATCTGCTGCACGCTCGCTTTGCACCGACAGCGGTCGTTCTTTTCCATCTGACTCAGAGCTACAATTCAGCTCCTCGCGGACGGAACAAATCGACACATCTGGACATGGATCTGAGGAATCCAAACGAAGGCTTTTTTTCCTTTCATGTCTTCCTCAGGCTTCTTTCCTTGACTGCACGAGGACCCAGCCTTGTCTCATCTTCACCGCTCGAGGCTTTCTGTCCATCCACTGACAGCACTACGAGTTTTTAGAACCTCCTGGTCACGGGAAGCTCCTCTGATCTCGCGGTACAATACTTCATCCTCTTCAATTTTGATTGTCTGCATTAGATTTTGCACAAACGGGCCACTGAGGAGCAGGCCACCTCCAAATTTCGCAACCCTCGTGAACCGACGATTTTTCATATTTTCTCTGAGCCGCTTCCATCCGCGGCTTAGAAAACTGAGGCGGGTCGAAGATCGAGGAAGACGTCATGGAAAGCATCGCTCTCCACGGTGGTCAAGTCCAGCGCAGCTACTAACCCTTGCGGACCTTTCGGGACTGGAAGCAGAAGAGCTGGAAAAAAAGCCTCGCAATTTTAGTCAGGCACTTTGTAATTTTGTTCAGGTGTCGCCGGGGTTGGTGCGATCCATCCGCCGCCGCTTCATTTTCCATGAATACGCTCGCACGACTTCATCTTCCCCCAGCGCTCCCCGTGGAAGAAGAATACATCACTGCAGTCGGTGACATGGACGTGGTCGTAGATTGTCGAATGGTCACCATCTCGGGCCAACATCTGTCCCACAGGGCGGGGGGTTTTTTCGATCGGACAGACTGACTGCTGCTGCTGCCGAATCCAATCACGAGATTCCATACAAATGCAACGCTAAATGTGCGCCTCGCTTGCTTGCTTCGGCCTCACGTATCCATCGGCCCTCGGTGCCAGATTTTGTCCACGGGGTGCATGCTGTTCCGACGTTCTTTCGGCCTCCTCGCGCTTGCTTTCGAGCCGGAGCCCGAGCGGACGAAGCACATCCTTGGCACCAGGGAGTAGAAGGAGATAGAATGGGAGGAGGGGAGGAGTTCTCAATGGAAGAATTGGACATCGAGGACGACTCGTCGTCGTCGGAGAGCGAGCACTCGGAGGCGGACGAAACCCTGGGAGCAAGCAGCAGAGCTTCGAGCAAGAGGGAGAGGGAGAGGGAGAGAGAAGCCAGGTTCGCGGAATTGATGGTGGAAGAAGGGGCAGAGTCATCGAATGTGGAACGAGGAGAAAGAGGCGAAGGAGGAGAATCACCGACGGCTCGAAATTGCGGCCTCCCTGGGGACAATGTGGGCCGGCTGCTGCGCGCGCGGACCAGATTGAGGTATTACTCGCCCGGGAGGTCCGAGCGGAGAACGCCCGACGAGGTTTCGATCCCGGAAGCGACCACTCTGGTGCTCGTGGGCATGCGAAGCTCTGGCAAGAGCGCTGTGATCAACAAGATCATCCGCGCGCTGGACGGAGAGGAAGGACTCTCGTACCTGGCCCCGGAGGCGAGGAATCCTGATCAAATCGGGACCTCGTTCTTGACCGAGCACAGGATTTGCGGCGGCAAGGTTTCTCTATTCGACACTCGGGGGTTCACGACGTCCGAGGTCGGCGAGGCCACGCAGGTGTTCGAGGATTGGATGAAGAAAGGGCTGCGCGACGGCGCGATGGAACGTCGAGCGGGCGATCCGGACGATTTCTCCTCGGCCCTGAGCCGCAGAGGTCGAGGAGCCGATGCCTGGCTGAGCAAACGCAGGAACGTGAACTTCGTGATTTTCGTGGTGGATGCTTCCTCGTTCCTCTACATGCTCAAGAGCGGCGACCGCCATGGCCTCGATGCCCTCAAAGAGCTCTACGACGACCCCTTTCTCGCATTCAGGGACGACCGCCCTGTGCTGGTCCTGACCCACCTCGACGACGTGAGCTTCCGAGAGAGAGACGCAGCTCGCGCGGCCATCGCCGCGCATTTTCAGGTGCCGGTGGGGGAGCCGATCTACGATCTGTCGGCCCCGAGCGAGGCCTGCGTCGAGTACTTAGGAGAGCGTGCGTTCACGAGGGCCGCCACTGCCCTGGAAATGCTGATCGCCGCCCTGCAGAAGGCTGACAGACATCTTCCTGCCAAGAGAGGACTCGTCCAGGTGGTTGTCGAGTTTTTCCATGGCTTGGCTACCCGATTTCGATGGAAGGGAGTCGCGCTGTACATTTTGTACTACTTCTACGTCCTCTTCTTTCTCTATTGCACCAGCCTGCTCGTGCGGGGACATTTGAAGGTACACGCCGACCTGATCAGAAAGGCCACTGGGTCGATCAACCATCGATGGCTGGCGAACAAGATGCGCACTTGAGGACTGCTCGAGAAGTTTGAGCATCTTCGGCTGCGCTCCCTCGCTTTAGCCTTCCAGTTTGCGGTTGCAGGCCATAGCAGGAATTTGTGAGCGGTTCACGTGCAAATTAAGATTCATGGTGGCTGTATCAGCTCTGAATGGTGAAGGTGACTCACCTTTGAAGACGAGGCCTGCTGTGAAGTGGTGGCAGTTGCTCATCTCTTGCTCTCTGTAGATGTTGGAAGTAAATTTACTGCTCGGTAGTAAATTTATGCCTTAAGTAAACTAGACGAAAGCGTATTCAGAGAAGTGGTGCACGGATTCGTATATGGAAACATCGTACATAGGCTTGGCGCAGATCCCAAGGGCAAGATATTTGTATAGTCATTGTGAATATTGTAAATTCTTCGACAGAGGCCACTGTGATGCAGTTTTCACGACGTGCTCAGCAAGCCTGACGGGAATCGTCTAGTAAACACAAGGAACGTTGGCATCCGGGGACTCGCCTTCACTCATCGGGGACACTGGTTCCCCTCAAGTCTCACCATGACAGTAAACCGCCGGGAAAATTGTAGCCGTCAGCTGGTTTTTGGACACTATGGCCCAAATGGTTACAATGTCCTCATTTATTTCCAAACGTGATGCTGTACAGTGCAGATTTGCTTGTCAATGTTATTGGGGTAATACTTCAGAAAGCTTCTTCGCAATGGCTTCAATCCATAACCTGTCTTTTCTTCTGTATGCCTGCGGAGTTTTTGAGGTGACGAGAAGAAAACCCTGGCCGGCACCTTTCCATTCCGTGTTTGTAGAGTTTGGAAAGGGCTGCAACAGTAAGCAAGCCGATCCTCGAGGAATGATCTCCAGACCTCGCACATCTTCACAGAGCAAATGCAAACGACTTTAGCTTGCAGCAAACGCAGAACTAGCACATCATTTTGACCACTAAGCGTTCATTTTACATGCATCTGTGTTCTAGATGGGAATTTCCGTAAGCTGACAGAATCCAAGCATGCAAGAGTGTCATGGTTGTCTGTCCGATCGCTTACTGCTTTAGAACATGTCCCGGGCGAAGGCAGTAAGTGGCAGACTGTGAGCTTACCGGCATTGTTTGGCTTATACAGAGGTTCCTGTAGTTCAGCAAAACGGTTCGACAACAGTTTGCTATCCAACCACGCCAGGGCAGAACTCTTGGACTTCAGATCGTCCACGTCCGGAATCTCCCAGAAGCCTCTGACGCAGACGACTCGACCCGAGTGCCAAATGAGCTGCAAATACAGCATAACGCACATCAGACCGCACGCACACACAAACATGGAAATCGAATCTTACAACGAGAGAAAAGTCAGAAGAAGAGAGGGCAGGCGAAGAGTACACAAGCGGTAGAGTCCGTATTTCGCAGCAGTGTGTATGATGCCCAAGCGAGCTCTTGCCTCCGCGAGTCACTCAGGCCGTCTGCCAACGCAAATAGCTGCTTCTCGTTGGGCTTGCCTGCGCTGCTTGATCTTCCTCCTCCTCCCTGTAGGTACAAGAGAAGTCATACGAGATGAAAGAATAAGTTAGGTGCCCGTACACAGCTTTTTCATCGGTCTGAAACCCGCCGTCCCGACGTAAGGATCGGGAAGTCCATCCTTTACATTTGACTGCCGGATGCTGGAAACTAGGGCAACCTGCCACCGCTAGACTCGAAACGCAGCGTTCCAGCTTTGGAAAACAGAGGAGGAGCGCGTGTACTCACACGGGTTGCGAGGTCATACATTCAATTGCCGGTTTATTGCTGGAAGAGATATCGATAGGGCTGCCAGGAACAGGCCGACCGCCTCCGATCTCTGCGACCAATAATTTCAGACAATTTCAAAGTGTGGTCATCCGACAAACGATTGCTCATGGCATACTCAATGTCCCATTTCAGGAGAGATTTGCCTGCTCAGATGAGAATGTATATGACTTCCAACCGGTCCTTCGTCTTCGAAGATTGCGTCCGTGTGAAGAAAAATGTTTCGAGAACTGGCTTCGAGATAATACCAGCTGGGCCGCAGTCATGGAGCTTAGACTGAAAGCATGGTTGAGTACGAGCAGTCCTCCGAACAAGATTCCGAGAACACGGGGCAAGTCGGAGTCATCAAGTCCGGGGATTCCTGCAAGAGTCAATCATAATCGGGAAATTGAGACGCAAGTCATGCTCATCGCTTACAAAAGTACCGTATTAAAGTGACGCCTCGACGATCCCGGACATCAAAGCTCACACTCTTAACGTGGACGCATCGGATTGGATAGGATTGGTTTGGATAAAACTCCTGAAGAGAGATGACAAGACTACAACGTCCGATGGAACTCACAGTATCCAGACCGAAGAGACGGAGAGATTCACAAACAACGAGAAAACTAATGAATTGAGAGCTGCGAATATTGATTGATGTGAACTGTCGTGAAGATGCATGTTTCACGCGAGTGAGCATTTCTTCGTCACAGGGATCATTACAGAAAAACATTTCTAAAAGACACCCGCCATGAGCTCAGAAGCGCACAAGTCGACCCAGCGGTCACTGAGAATTAGATCCATTCGATCATGCACTCGACATGACATCCTTTGATTACAACGACGAGTGAGCGAGAAAACTGAAAATGAGAAACGAAGGGAGGGCCGACGGCCTCTTCTTACCGAGAGTGAATCTAAAGACAGAAATGTCCAAATCTCCATCTCCTGCTCCGTCGCTCTGCCTTTCAGCTCGCACCGCAACGCTGCCACCGGCCCCGGGCCCGGCTCTTCTCCTCCTGCTTCTACCGGCGGAATGGAAGCAATTCACGCACCCCAAGAAAGCTGAGCAGCGGGTTCCGGCATAGACATCACGACGCACGGGCCTCATCGTTGCCCCGACGGTGAGCCAGCCGATTTGGGAGCTCGAGACGAGGACATTGCCCGCCATGGCAACGAACGAAGCTCCTCGTCGTCGTCGTCGTCCTTTCAGCTCAACTCATCGACAGCCAGCCTCGACGTGTTCCCACTCTGCGGCTCCGTAATGCACGAGAAGACCGTTCCAGTTCCAGTTCTGCTTCTGCTCCAGACTTGCAATGTGCGAACCTTCTCGCACGCCCTTCGCCGTGGCCATATCCTCCCTTTCTGTCCGCCCCGGCCACGATTAATTCATGCATTAAGCAAGAAAATTAATTGCAATGTTTAAGGAACATAGAACCTGACGGAGAATTTCATACACGTACAGCATAAATCTTATACTGGCCGTCACTTGAATTGCTCTATGATTCAGAGAAGAGCAATGGGTCTAGTTGATACTTAGCTGATCGAAATACCGCAATATTACAAGAGCTGATTCTATATATATATATATTACTTATCATTTATAAATTATTCAAATTTTATTCTTTTGTAAATTAGCTGTATCTGTGATATACATAAGAGAATGAATTCACGTGATATGGTGAATATTACAGACTTTTTTTTATCTCATATCCTTTGGAAGGAATATGTGCTTCAATGCATGTATTACATTCTCATATCATTGACACCTAGCTGTTGTGTTCGGATCCTTACTTGAAGCGCAGACAAGTTGTCTACTTGATTAGATGGAGCGCAGACTTGTCTTTGTGTTCGGATCCTTACTTGTAGTGCTAAATAGGGTTTTCCCATATTAATCATATTGTCATCTATCAAATATTAATTGTGAATGGTATCTTCATATTCTTTTTATTTAAATCATATTCTTATGTATCATCTTTCCATTGATCATGTGATTCTTATGTTCTTTTTTTCAATTGATTTATCACGGACTTTAAAGACAAGTCTAAGATTTCTTGACTGGTTTTCAAGGAGGTAATTTGGAGTTTAAAAGGTAATCTAATTTATGTAGAGTTTGCGTTTAATGTTTTGCCATTCCGGGGTATGTATTCCATGTGTCTCCTGTCATATATCTTTTCTTAATAGTATATATCCAAAATACCTGCCGTCAAATAACCAATTGAATCCTAGCAAGATAGAACTTGATATTGAAAAAGTTAAGCATTAGTGCTGGATTTCATGCAAAGTTTGTTTACTTTTTGTAGGATTTAAGCTTATGATACATGACTCTGTTGTCGGGCACTTTAGTGGTGAAGATGTAGACCTAACTATCTTGTATTTGGCTAGTTCTGATGAAAGGAATGTTTTAGGCATCTCTTGTCATCACAAGCTGTAAATATATATATCTTTATGCCTTGTACATCCATCTGTGAGTTTTTAAATAACGCCAATGATATTCGAGTATCAGCCAAAGGAGTCATTATATCTTGATATATCAAAATCCCACTTACATTGTCAAAGAGCTCATAAAAAATTGATCTACAAGCATTTTTTGGATTTGATACTCACATGCTATATATCATGTGGCTTCAGGTAGCTATTTACAACAGCAAGATCAGTTTCATGACAGTATATATTAACTTCAAATAAGTACTAGATGCTAGTCGGGCTGATTAAGTAATAATTTGAGAATATTAAAATAACTGATATAGGAAAACTCTTTATTGCAATAATTTAATATAATAAAATTATTCTATAATATAATTACATATGTGATTTTATTTTTTTAATGACTTCCCTAATTTAGGTTAGGCCCTAACATAAATTACCCTAACCGTTAGGGTAATCAAAAGTTTAAGTAAAATCATAGAAATATCACTATTGAATCAATTATCAAGTTTCATGATGTTAATTGCACTTCTAACCATGATTCTTTAGCCCTATAAAATATAAGTTTCGATTTGAGCACACATAAGAAAGAAATTTGGAACATAGCTTTGAAAAATGAAAAGATTAATAAATAAAATTGACTTGTCATAACTCCAATTGAGCAGTAAACTGTGTACTAGTTATTTTTAGCTAGGATGATCGCCTGAATGGAGTGTTAGATATCCCAAGGTGTTTCTATTGTACATAGGTTTTTGACATATCATTAGTAAAGTTACTTGTGTGTTTCAGCCCGGGTGAACCATGTTATATCTATCTTGTTTTGACCTTCTTTGGTTTACTGTTTACTTTTGATATTGTCACCTCATTTGTGATTCTCTGTTTTACTACAACATCATATGGATTTTATTCATATGTTGTTAACCAGCTTAGTTCTTATGTTTATCTATGTTTTTTATATTTTTGAATAATATTTATACTGATATCACATTAAAACATGGAAGCCGTTAGTTATCCCTCACTTAGGCCTAATTAGCCTTCACTCTACTCCAGGCTTTTCTCTGATTGGTAGATGCACGGTTATAGGTTCCTTCAATAAGTAACAATCTGAGTATGGTGTAGAGTGTTCAACCAATAAGATAATCGTGTATACCGGTCGAGGGATAATTAGCCCTAAGTGAGGAATAACTAGTTCTTCCTTTAGAACATAATCAAAGTTTTATTTTAGGTAAAAAGTTATGTTTTTTATATGATAATAAGCTGACAATATCTTATAAATATTTTATATCATTTGATTTGAAAGTTGTACATTTGTATTTAAATCTATTTATTATTGTCATGAGTTTAAATATGAATTATTGATGGATATCAACATGTTATCTTTTAATATATCTAAAATGACTCATCTATTTCAATCATACATGAAAGAACATTGCATTCATGATCACCTCACTAATGATTTTTTAAAAATCATTCAATTTTCTTCATCCATTTATCATTTATGAGAATTTTCATAAATGATAAATTTCATTCATTTTGATGCTTCTCTCATGAATCTTGTATCGATACACATATTGTTCTCATGCATGATAAAAAATCATGAGACATAAAAACAACACCTATCAAGATAACATTTCTAATATTTTATGTGCTTCTATAGAAAAAAAACTATTTTAATATTTATTCTACTTATTATCCATGTCTAATAAACTTTTGTTCATTAATTGTCTTAATTTATAATTTTTTTAAAACAAAAAAATTAATTCTGATCTCTTATGTAACTGTATTAGCTTCAGATCAACTTAGAATTTATAATTAAATTTCGATCATTATCAAAATATAAAAAGAGAAGTATTAAATAATTTTAAAACTCTATATAGATCAAAAAATTACAAATTTTTCTAAGAAATTCTAAATTTGTGAACTATCTATCTTTTTCAATTCATAGCAATGAAATGAGTTTAGCTATTTTCAGGAAAAATTAAATGATAGTAAAAATGGAATCATGATTGCTATATTTGTGATGAGATACAAATAGTAGTCCAATCATGATGTTATGTATGGGAAAAAGTAGGAGTTCAATCCCAATATACTATTTTTGGTTTGTTTAGGGTTGATTAGAAGTTCAATCATGGTGATGGAATCGATTCTGTACAAAGGTTGAGATTTAGTATATATGAGAGGAATTAAGAAGACAATCTCGAAGGTTGATATTTGTTACGTACAAGAATCATTAGATTAGCATTAGAAGGTAAATCGTGAAACATGATTTCTTTTTATATATAGTGGCTAAAGTAGAAGAACACTTTTCTTTGATCATGTTTCTTAGCAATTTTATGTTGTATTTTGAATATTTGAATCAGCTAGTTGATACATGTAGTAAGACATAGTTGTACATGTTATCCAATTGGTTTTATGTGTCTTTACATGTTTATATTGTTTGTAATAGATTTGATATATTTGATGTTTCTCAAATGAAAACCTCTTAGAACATTTGACCAAGCTTTTTCAGATATTGCACTACGACTTTTTCATCTTAACAGACTGCTTTCTTGTTTCTTCCTATGCTTATCGTAGTTGTAGAATAATATCGCATCTATTATGGCACGGGTTTTATTTTGTATTTGCGTTGGTAAAAATCTCGAAAAGCTTAACCAAATTATGAATGCAAAAGGGGGATGCAAAACATGTAGACTCCATCAGAGAAAATTCCTATCGATTTTACTTTTTACTGCTGTGTTACTTAAGGCCTTCAAGTTTTTACCTGGTTTTGAAGAAAAAGAATTGAAGAGTATGAAGTAATAGAAGAGGAGATTCAAATCATGCAGAAGGTATCACCAGGTATGGATTTTAATTCGTGGGTGCTGAAAGTCTAGAAGACTGCTGACTGAAAGTTTACAGAGCGAAGGAAAAGGTGGAGATGCGGGGACTCGAACTCCGTACCTCTCGCATGCGAAGCGAGCGCTCTACCAGGTGAGCTACATCCCCGAGATGCTGAAGATGCAATCTATTTAATTTATATTTTTAAGCAAACCGGAAGAAACCGGAAATCTGAAATTGAAATAATCCAGTTTTCCGGTACACTCCTTTTCACTTCAAATCGTACAAAAGATGATCGTAAAGGAGCCCGTTAGACATTACAAGGCAAAGTAGGGCCAAATTTAGCAACGGTCAAAGTAGGGGGGATTTTTGCTCTCCAAAAAGTTGAAACATGAAGGAAATATATGTCCTACCGAATTTACGTCTAGTGATTATTTCCATATGGGTGAGATGAGCCTAACGAGATCAGGCCGTAGCTTAAAAAAAAAATAGCCTACATGCTTTGCACTTCACTACCGGAATAAATTACTTGTTTTATAATCTACTCACACAAAGGTGGCTAAGAAGATAACAAAAAAGTAGGGAATAAATCATATAAAGCCACAATGTGTTACCTCGCCTAAGATATCTTAATGATCAAGGTCATATTCATCAACATAAATGTGATTATCAAAAGCCGCCACCACCTAATGTGAAAAGTGATTTATAAATAGCACTGACTAGTGCTATGGGAAAAGAAATTTCAAACGTAGGCTAAAATGTGTTGAATAAAGGCTCCTCCTTCAATTCACTTTCTCATTAGCAAACATGGCAAAATTTACATCTATATTTACAATTATTTCCATTTTAAACTCAAAAATGTCTTTCTTCTTTACTAATATATTATATTACAGAGCTAATAGATTTTACACGGACTCGTAATACATTCAGGAGCATGAGTATTCATTCCTTCAAATAATCATAATATTTTGGCCTTTTTGAACAAATTTTGCAGTTTTATAATCCTAATCTTCTACAAGTCATACAAACACTCCTTCATGAAAATTTTCACGTTTGTTGCAAAAACCAC